GGGTCCAGCAGTGGTGGGTCCGGCAGTCACAGCAAGGGCCTGCAGAACAAGCAGGGCTGTGTCACACAGTCCTCGCTTGCACCCCTGCTGCCAGAAAGCTATGTTCAGCAGAGCCCAGGGGTCCCAAATTCTGACACAGGCAACTTCAGGTAGCCCAATGAGCCAGACAGAACAGCACAGCAGGCCAAGTCCAGCCTGTGGGCTACATGTTTGACAACCCTGGCAGGAAAGAATAGGAGCATTAGCTCTACAGTAACAATTCACAAGAGGCAATGCATCATGTTAAGAAAATACACTCACTAAAGTTATTGTTTACCTGTTATTTCTGTTACAGTAGTGAAAATTGGTAACCTTTTTGTGATTATTGATTTTTTTCCCCCCACCAATCTGCCATGCTGTTTAATCCAAATGGCTATGGCCAAAATTGAGGCAATGGTATTAAGTGCCTTATAAAACATGGAAGATACCAAATTTTAGCTGTTTTTTGGAATTATAAACTTCATTGCTAAACAAGAAAGAAAGATTTCTATACCTTCCTAACTTTCTGCTATCTGACACCACCAGAGAAGGAAAACTGCCTTATCTGCACATCAAAGGGCAACTCATACAAAGGGACGTCATGGACCCAGAGGAATATCCATCCACCTTCAGCTTCCTTTGTGCAAAATGAAGTTTATTTTCTACCTAAGGGGACTTTTACCATCTTTAATCTCCCTTCAGCATGAAGAAGGGTGCGTGTGCCCAAAAGCTTGCAGAAAGACTATTTTTTTTGCTAGTTTCTAGTTTGTCTAATGAAAGGTATCACCTCCGAACCAAGAGTTTTAGAGTTTTGAGTTCCTTATAAAACACAACATATTTTAGATAAATTGATTGCTATATATCTCAAGAATTGTTGCAAAAGCAACCTGAAGCTGCTCCATCTTTTTGTTTGCTTGGAGCAGCAACAGTTTCCAAAGCAGTACTGAGCTTGTCCTTGGCTACACTTGTAGCTAAACTGTTCATCACTAAGTTCAGCGGCACCCATTTTCAGGGACAGGTATTTTGAACAGTGCAGACAAGGATAAAAAGATGATTCCCAATAAGTCTTTTTGCTTCCCATTTGGTAAATTTGATATTCTAATTTTACAAACGTACCTGCCATTTTGCAATTTGATATTGTATATTGTAATACTGTGTATATATATATTTTTTTAAACATTTTTTTTTTAATTTAAACTGAAATTTGATGGTAAAGATAAAAAAAGATTAAATGCTGCTTTAAGTGAATGTAGTGCTCTACTGAGTTGGTTTACTGAAGACAATAGTTGCCATTAGCAGTCCACAGAAAAATAGGACTGGAAAGGACTTCCAGAGGTTATCTAGTCCAACTCCCTGCCTAGGTATACTGACCCCAAATGAAACAGTGCCAGACAGGGAGAAAGGTCCTGTGATCTAGGTTGTTAAATTGTGTGTTCAAAATAACAAGATTAAAAAAATTCACCTTGTAGTAACCAGTGCAGAATCAGGATCCAGCTGTCATGACCACTTTTAAAGAATTGCTATGGTAAAAATAAACATCATGGTTTTTGTCAATAAAAGTACCTGCTGTTTTTACTGCTTGGATTCAGATTTACATTTCAACCTCCATACCCATTGACATGTTTGCACTTTTACACGCGTTGAAAACCAGTAGCTTTTATGACAGGTGTTGCAGAGAGGAAGAGCCTGCCACGTTGAGCGACTCACCACAGACGCCGGGATCACAAGCCGATGGGCTGCCGGCAGCAGAAGAATGGAGTGAGCACATGCCTCTGGCATGGGCATACCTCGTAATTGCATGCCAGCACTGATTCACAGGGCAGAACACAGGCACTGGTTTAAAACTGCTGCAGGACAACACCGGGGGGAACCAGAAGTGAGTTCCACACTGCAGCCAGAGCAGAGTGAGAAGGTGGCTTGTGCCAGCAGGGGCGACTGGTAGCAGAGTGTAGAGAGGCTGAGCACCAAAGCAGAGTCGGAGGTGTCAGCATACTTACTGGAGCAGCGTCCATAGGAGACAAGCGCCAATGATCAGAGTTGGATCGATGGCAAACCTGAAAGACAAAAAGGAAAAGAAGAATAGTGAAACCGTGAGTAAGACAGCACAGACTGCGTTTAGGCGGGTCCAAGCCCAACATTCCCAGCATAGAGAAAAGGCATGCATGACTGAATAGGAATAGAGATACTCATTGTGGATATTATCACTTCTAGCACACAACACTGTTACTGTGGCAGACTCTTATAACTGAGCGAGGCAAACAAATATACATCAAACTCGACATACACCATCTGGGTGGCATTAGGTGGACTGTAGGGGAGGCAGAGCCCAGGCCCAAGCTACAGCGTATGTACGTGTAAAGACGCTGAAGGATGAGAGGTCAACATCATCCTCCCCAAGATTATTTTACATTCACATGTAGCAGGCAAGAACCCTCAGCGATTTTAACAATCTACACTGGCAGCAAAACTGTCGGCCCGTAAAATAGTGGACAGTGCAGGCCGGGTGGAAAAATCTAAGCGGTAGGCCAAAGATTGGCACGAAAGATTACAACAAGGTAAAAATATACATATATTTTTGATCCCAGTAAAATTTTGAGAAGGCACATATAGCAGGCCTAGGCCCAGGCCCAGGCAGGGCCATAACACCCCCTTGTGGCCAAGTGACCCCTGCTCCACTCCAGCTTCTCAGGGTCCCCTCCCTCTTCTACCTCACTGCCATACTTTGAGGTATCTTGTAATACTTAAGGAGACTGGCCCTCAGTCTCACAGTAAATCTCCATCCCTCTGCTATCTATTTTTTCATGTGCCTGGCTGGCACTAATCTGACTCCTTAAATCATGGCCCTCCTCATCCTATCCATGCCTTAGGGCCCCACTATTTTAAAGACAATAATTGTAGCCTCTACCTCCCCTGCCCATGCCTCACAGATGTTACTAAATATCACTTTGGGGGCCCCCCTGGCTCTACCACAACACTTGGCCCCCTCAGGTCTCCAGCCTTTGTTGGGGCTTCAGCCTTTCTCTGGCTGTGCCTCCTCAGCTCAAGTCCACTGCCTTAGCCCCAGCCCTGGTCTTGCCCACTCAGGGCACGGGCTCTGGCCCTCTGTGATAGCCTGCTCCGTCTCTCACCCTCCCTCACCCTTTTTCAGAGCTTGAAACCCTGAGTGCCTAGTATGTGGCACCCTGGTATGTGGCCTCCAATCATACCATGCGGGCACAATCTGGTCGTCCGGTGTTAAATTTTCCATAACACAAATATAAGCCAACCTCTTCCAAACTAAAATTTATCCTCGCTCAGGGTCAATACCCCCACTCCAAGCCATACCTCCCAGCTTCCTAGGATAGCTTGGGTGTCTGTGGGCTGTTTTGCTGAAGTCCTTCTCTCCCAGGAGCTCGTGTCTGCATCCTGCATGGCCAAACTGCCTTTCTTTCTTCCTGCACTGGTTTTATAGGCCTCTAAGCACTGCCCCTTCTGGTCAGGTGGTTCCTCAGCCACCCACAGGGATTTCCGCTTTGCCTTCTCTCTGCTGCAGCCCTGCATAGCAAGCTTAATCCATTGCACTCTTTACTTCAAGTGACAGGAGCTTCTGGCTCCCTGTAACAAGACATAATCGCTGATGCAGGTTTAGTACCCCCCCAAATACAGGAAAGACTTCATTATGGGAACAATATAAGGAAGAATAAAGTAACCTTTAGCAGGCTTAAAGTATTCATTATTTAGTTTTATAATGTGAAGAAAAAAATTGGTTACTAAAATTTACATTAGTTCTTCAATGGCAAAGAAGTAAAATGGAAATATTCTAGTTCATTTTGCAACATATTCACTATCTTTATGAAAAGAAAATTCTTGCACAATCAGGTGCTCTGAAATGGACCTGGAACCCCAGAAGGACTTTCCCAGAGGGGCTGATCTAGACTGGCCAACATAACAATGCCTAAACCACCTGTGCTTGAAAACTGGAAAATAGAAAACAAACATGATCAAATGGGGCTACTCTAGTGACACAAATATATGCAAGCGTGGTAAAGCCCAGGCTATGGAGCACCTGCTTATTTGCCGAGTCCTTGGTGAGATCTGTAAGAAGGACCTTGCTGCAGCAAGGGAAAGAGCCATCACTTGCGCACGATTATGGAAAAACAGGAAAAGAACATCTTTCAACAGACATTTTGATATATTCAGAAGTCTCCGATATCCCAGTTCATTGTAGATGAGATGAGGCATCAGTGGATCCAGGGTGGTTGCAGTGGTACACTCACACCCCCCTTTTGATCCCTGCTTTACTCAAACTCAAATCCAACTGCATGGGAGGAGCAGAAGCCATTCTGTTCAGGCAGCGCTGAACGAATCAATTGACTTCATGGCTCACTGTCATGTCCATGATTCCTGCTCATCTCTCTCCACTCCACAGACATTAAAACCCCCACTATTGCCACCCCCGCCGTGTCAAAAACTGAGACACAAACTCTTAAAAATCAAGCGATGTGGCATGGCATGTAAATCATGAGATACTATTTTTGAAGGGGGGTGGGGACTGTGGGTGTATGTGTGGAGTTTGAAGCCCAGGGAGCGCAGGTCCCTGCACACCCTGGCAGGATGCAGGGTACTGTGGGTCAGGAGTGATGGGCATCAGCAGGGCTGGGGAGGCTGTGTCTTGGGTGTGAGCAGCAGACACACAGACACCCAAAGACAGACACACAGATGGGTCATGTGACAGAGCCATGGGTGACTGGTCCAGAGGCATGGGGGGGGTGGGGGAGGGAGATGGCTCTCCATCACTGCATGCATCCCCCACGGGAGACACGGGGGTACATGCCCCCGGATCTGTGCAGAGCAGAGGCAGGCTGGGGCTCTGTGCCCTCCTGCCTTTGCCCCAGGAGCCATGCAATGCCATGTGTGCATCTTGCTGCCCATTGGGTGGGCAGGGGACAAGTGGTGTGTCCAGCAGGCAGCTTGGCAGGCAGCAAGAGGCATACATGGAGTCACACAGCTCCCGGGGCTAAGGCAGCAGGGTGCAGAGCCCCAGCCTGCCTCTGCCCTGCACACAAATGCAGGGAGCACATGCCCCCCCATGCCTCTCTTGGGGGTGCATACAGCGTGGGCAGCATTCACCCTCCCTCCATGCCTCTAAACGAGCTGCCTGCAGCTCTGTCACACAATTTGCCCTGGCCCCATTCACCATGGCCCCGGCCCCATTCCCTGTGAGGTCTTTGATCTGTGCCCCCCTGCCCCTCCCCCTCCACAGACTTACCAGCTGGGCACTCTCCACACACACCAGAAGAAAAAATCCTGAGACTGGAAGCTTCTATCCCGAGATCATGAGTCAGAGTTAATTTGACTTGGAAATAGGGGATCTCAATTTTTTTGTGAGAGCTGGCATTACTGCAACCCTCTCTCCTTTTTAAGAGTCCTGATGTTCCATTAATCAAATTATCCTTTCTCCTGTAATTGTGTTGTTTCTTAGCCATTCCTGGTAATGTCACTCTTCTGTTTTACAGTCCTACAGATTGTTTAGCTCTAGCTGAAAACCTTACCTCAAGTGTTGTAATATTAACTCAGATGTAGAAATGACTGAGTGAAATACTGAAGGCACTGTCAAGATGCTCAGTCTGAATCAGAGTTGTACACATAATAAATACAGGACTAATGACCCAATATCTTTTGACAATTTTTTGCCCATTTTGTTGTGTTTTTTTAAATCTTATATATACCCTAGGAAATTAGTGCCCATTCCAATAATTATATTTGTTTTTGCTTTTATCTTAAACTGAATAAGGTAATGCTAGCCTCCTAATATATTAGTAAAACTTCTAGTTTCTCTTTAACTAGAGAACAAAGTGTTGTGTTGTATGTGTTGATGATGATGCACCACATCATCTGCACTCCCCTTTTCAAAATCTTAGGTCTGCCCACGAGTTGAGGAAATTAAGGAGCCTTGTATTTCTTGGTCATCTACATATATTCACAGAAGCTGAAAATTCAAAACAGAGGAGTTTATACGAAGTAACTTGTTGGCTTTATTTCAGTTCCATGTGAACATAAACCCACATCACAAAAAGCCACCATAATAACTATGGTTAAAAGGCATACTTGATTGTTGTCCCAGTAGGCAGGACAGGAAAGAATCAGAACACAAAAACAGAAAAGAGCTGGTCTTTTCTGCTCTCAGGAAGAAGCATGGCTACAGTGGTATGAGGTTACCCTGCTTACGCTTGAATTGTGTGTTGATCTAGCACTTTATATGAATACCATAGTCACTTAAAATAAAATGATAAAAAAAAATCTGGAAAATAGATCTACCCATCTAAAAAGTGTGAAGGCAGTAATTACACTATAATGTCTAGATATGAGTAGAAAATGTAAATCTATACAAACTACCTGTTACTAAATAACAAATAAAATGTTGTTTCCTGTATAGTAGATGCTTGTATACGCTTATTTTGCATTATATTCTGCTATGGCTTCATAAAAAGAAAAAAAACAAAGTATCACTTGATCAGTTAAATATTGTTGAAAGTGGTAATGGCTGCCATCAAGTAGGTCTTTAATTTATAAAGGATCACAGACCCTGATCCTTTCAGGGACCCTGACCACGCTAATGAATGTGCTACGCACTTTTCTTCCAGGCTAAAGAGAAGAGTTAAATTCCTTCCATGTAGTGATAAATGAAGATGATAGAAGGCTATTGCACAAGGTACTGCACTGCATAAAAAGCTGAAACTAGGTACTGCCAGAGAATCTGAGAGGTTTTGCCGGGGGGACTGGTTTGGTTGCTAGGGAATTGTTTGGCAACCTCTGTGTTCAAGAAAACACAACAGCAAAAATGGAAGTCATGCGTATGTCTCTGAGATGGAAAGAGGTATCGCTCCTAGACATGACACTAGATGGTATAAGGATTTTTGAGTAAAAAAGCTGTCTGCTGGTTTTTCTTTTTTTAATAAACACGGTTACACCAAAGAAGATACATGACTTACATTACCAATTTTTATCCACTTAATAGAAAAAGAATGCCATGCCCCAAGTCCCTCCAAGGCTGGGTTAAACCAAGCTAACACTCTCAGCCCAAACAATCTGGCAGGGCTTCACCAGCATCATCTATCAATTTGGCAATACAGCACATAACCTATTTGCTTTTTATGCTCACAGCCAGATGGACATAGTGAAGGAATTCTTTACCAATGTTTCTTGACAATGGTAGTCTAACTGAATTTAAAAACCATGGAACCAGAATTTTTGCAATTATTGATGCCTTCTTTTTTTCTAAGTGACTTATTTAACAAAGGGTAATTAAATAATTTAAATAGTTTCATGTTCCTCATCCAAAAACAGGATTACGACTACTGCCATAAAACAACACTCATGTTTTACACTGAGTTTCATACATGCAATCATGCTGTAATCTAAAGTACTATTATTCCTTTTAATGCTTCCTTCCCATTTCTATCCATCTAAGAATATTACTTTTCACAACTGCCTCATGTGCCAAATAAATTCATGTTTAATCAAATATTATTCATAAGTATAAAGGCATGTGAAAAAGAATTCCCATTCAGAATATGGACCTATTCACACTCAGCACCCCCCACTCTAACATAACGCTATTATCTCTTATTAGTAGTCAAGTCTAACACAGTACAAGGAAAAAAAAACAGTCCTTGTCACGTTACAGAAACAATGACTATATTAGATCAAGCAAGTAAATGAGATTACAAAGGGAAGAGAAAAAAATGACTATACTGTGATTTTGCTAGAATAGGCTTGAATGCAGTTTATGTTTGTAGAGCATTCAGAAATAGAACAAATTACATATTCATAAAGAGACGAAAGGAACATTTGATTTGTTTTAATTATTGCTGGCTGTCAGACAAAAGCTTATTATAAAACAGGCAAACAAAAGGTTCTGTACTTATATACTTTGGTACGCAATAACGCTGCTAGAAAAATTTGCTGTTTCAAAGCAATAATACTTTTTTTTTCATTTTGTTCTTCCAAAATGTTTACTTCTTTTGTCAATACACCTAATGAGCTATAACAAATGTATTTATTTTTCTTCATTTTCTCTGGTTAATCTTGGACATACCACCATATTGCATACATTTATATTACAGTCCTCACTGTTTGAAAAATCAATTCTTAAAATGCCACTGCATTTTAAAAACTGATTTAAAAAATAAAAGCATACACTGCAAACTCTCAAGAGAGAGACTTTTACCATTAGGTTTCTGTGGGTGCATTTACACAAAACGCTTAACACGCAGTTCTACTGCGCCTTAGCGCACATGGCAAAAACCATGCTAATACGCTAATGTGCAGTAATATTAGTCTGCTGTGCATTAAGCTTCATACAAAAAGCATGTGATTGCACTAATGCACGGTACAACAGCCTACTGTGCATTTTAGTACTTGACTATACAAGTACTAAATTTAACATGCTGTAGACACTGTGCATTAATGAATATGTAGATATGCCCGGTTTAACATAATTTACTTGTAATGAAGTGATAATGAATAGGTGATAATATAGATGTACAGTTTTCCAAGTAATGTATTTTATCTATCATAATTCAAACTATTTCTGACTTTTTAAAACTGATATCCAATACCTATCAGGATTTCCTCATATTTTGAGCTGGCCTGCAGATGCTTGAGACGGTGAACCTGTGAAAGAGAAAGTGGCTTATTACTAACAGCACTCCTCCATCCCAAAATGTGTGAAAATTTAAGTAATTGATACCACTACTCTCTAGCTGCTTCAAAAATTTTTAAAAATTTGATAAGCAGTGCTGTGTATTTCTCTTTTCCATTTAAATGTCTTCATTGCTAGAAGGAAAGAATCCTATTTTTTAAATATTTAATGTTCTCAAGGATCTACTCACTATGTAGTAGGATCATTCTTAAAGCAAAGTATCCCTTTTTCCAGTCTGTCCAACTGAAAAACTCTGTTCTACTTTATTCAACATTCATCCATATTTGTCTCCTTGACATTACTACTTAGTTCACAAAAGCTAGCAATGTAAAAGACAAGGAATGCCCAATTTAGTTAACAGAGGACGGCTCCCTATTGCCTACGTGTCATTGTTTTGCCTAGCTTAGCTTTAAATCTACCACACAAAGAAACGTGCTTCAGCTGTTCTTCCTTGAGAAACAATTATTCCTGAGTCTAGAGTAAATATCACCATTAGGATGTTTTTCTTCAGAGTCTGTAGAAATTCTCTCTTAATCATCTGCCATTAATCCACATTACATCCCAACCTTACTCCAAATAAGTCCTCCCCTTTCTCAATGATTTCATCATTTAAGTGTTTCTATATGGCTGCATGCCATGTTCCCCTCTCCCATCCCAGGTACACATGTCTCAATCAGAAGCTTTGGCCTGTTTCTGTTTTTATTTTTATTTTTTTAAGCTTTTAGGGCCTTAGAATTCTTTGGCCCACTGACAGCATGGCACCAAGTAACCTCCCTGCCTGCCCTGTGCCACCACATTTACCACCCCCCACATAAAAGAAGGGGTGAGGTTGCGTGTCGTGGGGGAAAAACATGCAACTCCAGCGCCAACCCGACCGGGGGAAGCACACAAAGGGGCAGCAGAGGAGGAGAAAAACAGCCCCCACCTCCCCTCAGGGCTCGCCCAGCCGAGGCAGTTTACAACACTGGGCCCAACGGCCGCGCGCGCCGCCTGGGGCGGTGGGAGGGGCAGGAGCCAGCGGGCCAGGCCCCGCCCCCCTCCCGTGGCTCGCGCAGCATGTGCACGCGCGCGCGCGGCTGGAGGGAGGGAGGGACAGAGAAAGGGCGGGGCGGGCGCGCGCGCGCTACTCCGTGACCCATTTCACGGAACAAAGGATGTGGCTGGAATCTCAGCGCTAGACCTAAAATGGCGCCGGCGCGCAGCTCTCTCCCCCTCCCCCATCTCACCCCGCGCGGGCACCATAGAGACGGGGTAGCTAGAGCGGCTCCTCTTGGCGCCTTCTCTATCCAGCCCGGGCTCCGCCTCTCTGGTTGGAGGCTAGCGGGAGGGAGGGAGGAGTGACGTCATGGAGACCGAAGACAAGGAGGACGCCAAGAAGGTGCGGGGGGGCCGGAGTCGGCCCTCGGCTTCGTGGGCTTCCTCGGGTGGGCCCGGTGCGTGGCGGGAGCGCTGGAGCGGTCCCGGCGTGGGGAAGGGGGAGGTTGGGGGGAGCGGGAGAGGAGGAGGAAAGTCCGTGCCGCGCATGCGTACAACGGCCGTGGCTCATCCTTCTCCTCTGCGTGCGCACGCTGTGCAGCCGCGTCGCCCCGCTCGTGGCCCAGCTGGAGGGTGGCTCTGGCCGGGAGGAGCCCCGGGGCGTGCGGGGCTGTTACCTGTACTGATCTGCTTACGTCTTCAGGCAGAGCTGCCCCAGGCAGCAGCCACTGGTTCCGTCGGGGGCTGGGGGGCACCGCCTGGCTGGCTCTGCCATTGCTCTGCGGGCGCTAAGCACACGTTGACCTTCTGCATCATGTGGACCTGTCTGCCAGGCCAGGGAGGACGCTGTAGGGGGTGGGAAGTGACCTTGGGCGAGTGTGGGGCTGCCTTGTGCTTATCTGTTAATGTGTCCGGCCAGAATTTCACTAGGTGGCATCCACAAGCTCTTTTGACCTGGGGGGCATTTGGCACTGGCCCCCATGCTGTGCTCGGTGCCCCTTTCCCAAGGCATCAGGAGGAGTCGTTGCTATTAACGCATGACCACATTCCCTTCCTTTCTGTTATGATTTGTTGGACAAACAATGAAATTTGCCTGTTCAGGTGCTCCAGTGCTCTCGAAGATGTGCACCCGCTAAGCGTTGCCACTGATTTGTCCCAAGGAATCAGTAGACTTCTCTGTAATGGGCTCCCTTCTTAAGGGAGGCTTACAGTTTCTCAGTGCATGATCCCCCTTTAGCACATCAAATAGGCCTATGTCAGACGTTGGCAAAGAGTGAACAGAAAGGGAGAGTGAACTGGGTCTGATCAGGGTTTTTCCTCTCCCACTTGCAGCCTCCAGCATTGAAAATCTGTTAAGATCTTAAGTGTCGAAGATGGATATTATCATAGTTAGGGCTGGTCGCATCTAGTCCAGTTCCCTGCTCAAAACAGAACCATCCCCAACTAGATCATCCCAGCCAAAGCTTTGTCTAGCTGAGTCTTAAAAACCTCCAAGGATGGAGAGTCTCCAACCTCTCTGGGTTACCTGTTCCAGTGCTTTACTACCCTCCTAGTGGAAAAAAAACTTCCTAATCTCTAATCTAAATACCCCTTGCCACAATTTGAGACCATTGCTCCTTGTTCTGTTATTTGCCACCAGAGAACAGTCTAGCTCCATCCTCTTTCGAACCCCCCTTCATATTGCAAAGGGACAACAGGACTTCTCAGGGTTAAACCCACTTTATTGTCTTGTTCTAGTCAGGGTACCATGTGCCCCCAGGAAGGGCTAACGGCCCCCCATTGCCTTGGGCATCCATAGAAACTGAGTTTACTCTCACCTTCCCAAATTCAACCCCTACAGGAACAAGATCTGCTTGCCTTCCCCTTGCTAGGACAGTAGGCCTGTAAATTTCTATGGAATGATCTGTGGAATAAGGGATTCAGTATCCCCAAAGGTGACTCAATAAAGCCCCAGGTTAAAATTTTCCGTAGAGTGTTTTGTAGAGTGAGTATAGTACAGAGGGTCTGTGTTTTCTTTTATTTCTAACATCTCTTTTTTGGGGGAGCGGGGAGCAAAGTCCTGCAGCAGCAGACAAAAATAGCATTTTAAAACTATGAATCATAGGGTACATGTGCAGTGTGCGTGCCTCCTTAACTAAAAGCACTAGGGTATCAAAGGTCTATTTCCATGTATCACTATTTAAATTGTACCATATGTGATATGACTACATCGGGGTGTCAAACTCTTCTGGCCCTGTGGATCAAGCCCACAGACTAGCCACATGTACCAGAGGCAGTGGACAAGGTTGCTTTGGCATGGGCACCTCATGCCATGCACACTTCAGTCCAGGGCTTGTGCATGTAGCTGACATGGGGTGCACTCTGCATGAGGTGCCCACGCAGGCCCATTCCAGCCCAGGTGCTGGATTCGGTGTGCGCCCATGACTGGCCTCCTGTGCTGCATCCAGCCCCTGCAGCACTGACTCTGCACCATGTGTAGCACATTAGGTCAGAGTCATCACATGCTGTGTGCAACACACATGGCCAGTCAGTCGAAGACCCACAGGATGGATCGTAGAACATGGGCCAGATGCTGCCCATGAGTCATATCTTTGACCGCCTTGGACTACACAGCTTAAGAGCCAAATCCTCTATGTTTCAGTTGCACAAGTTGATTTGGTCCTAAGTATCAGTTGTTTTATGGATTAAAACTTTCCATAATGGGTCTTCTATACTTGGTATGTACGTCCTAATATTTTTAGGATCAGCATCACATAGCAACTTACTTATGCCTCACAATAAATTGTATCTTCTGTACAATCATATGTTGGTCACATACAGTTCCATTTCAGAATTTTTAATTAAATGATGCTAATTGACTTTATAATTACTGTGCACACTGTATCGAAGACCTAAAGATTTTAAAGCAACAACACAGAAAAATGCAGAAACTTTTTGTGCATAATGAACAAATACATTTAACTGAAGGAAATGCAACAGTTCCATCCTAAGTCTGTCCCATGCCACTATTGGGGCCTTTTAATATATGTCATTTTATTGTCTAACTTTATTCAGAACAGAAGATAGACAGGGATACATATAGAAGCTCTTATTAATGTAACATTATAAGTGCTTGTATCAGTTGACAGTAGTCTTGGTAATATTTCTTCCAATCACCAATTTTGACTTACAGAAAAACTTTTTTTTCTAATGATTTTAGCACAAGACCCTCGAGGACCAGCATCTAAGGCTGATCAACACTGCTTTTTACTTGGACTTTCAAAAGGATGTTGCTCAGTTCCCTAAGGCCCCTGAGAAAGTCCAAGCCTGCATAAAGAATTGTTTCTTTTTTATAAAGAGTTGTGTTAGAGATTATTTGTGGAAGAATTATGTTGATCCACATGGAGATTGCTCTATTATAAAATATGTATTCAGTTTGAAGAAGGCCCTAATTTTTTTTTAATAATCTACCTGTTTCAGTCTATAAAATGACTTAGGTTGGTAACTACATTGTCAGTTAATAACCATCACCATTTTTTTAGACAAAAATATTTTTATTTTAGAATTTCCAAGGGTCTTTCTGTACTCATTATCATTCTCTTGAGAACGTAAATTAAGATATTGGTTATTTATCATATTAAATTAGATGGATGGTCAGAGGATGGTTATAATGAAGGACTGAATGGTTCTGCTCAAATTATCTCCTACTAGCACAGTTCTCACAGTGTTAGCTAGTTCGGGGGTGCTTGTGTAGCACAGCCAGCTATCACAGTAAATGGCAGTCAAATGTGCTTGAAGAATTAATAAATTAAGTCAGAAGACTGCAGTTCTAGTGTTGACACTATACATCTTGTGCTAGAGTAATAGCTATACAACTGAAATTCTCAGTGCCATAGCCAGTGTGTCAAAAACATGGCTGCTACTGATTATTTTCATCTGTATATCTCACAGTATTAACTGGAGTTGATTAGTGTTATCGTCATTGTAAAGTAGGCCAAGTAAAGATATGAAGCAATATGTATAAAAGCAATGATTGATAAGATAAATAAAGATAATGGTTGGTAAAGCATGGGTCAGTGATCTTGGAGTTTGTTGCAAGCTGTGCTACAAACATCTTTCATGATAAATAACCTTGAAAGTCCTGGGTATTTTTGTTACAAGGAGATAAAATTAGCCTTCCAGTGGATTGAGATGACATACTTAATGCTAGAATGTTATATAGTATGTTGATATAATGGAACTACACCGGAAATGTATTATGACTTAATTAAAATCAGCTTAATTTATGAGGGCTTACAGTGAATGAATGTTTCTGATAAAGTGTTCAGATTGTACTTCAGGTGCACTGAATTACACAAAGAGCCAGAATCATTGCTTTGATTCAACTTGCTGCTCTTTCTGAACTATGCCAAGGATAAATTTGACCTGTCTGTTTTAATGGCATGGTGTTTCATATGGTGGTGCTTTGTTTGGTTAAAAACAAAAATAGCTGAGATTGTTTAAAGTTTTGAGGAGTTAAAATAAAAAATATATTTTTGTGTAACAAATATGTGTATAGAGAACCTGTTTGTGTGTTTGGGGGGAGAAGGGATTAATAAAAATGAAAAAGAGTTGAAGGGTTTAATTACAGTGCATCCTTTCTTCAAAAAATACTGGCCTAAGACTAAATATTTTCATAACTGATTTTTTTTTTTTTTTTTATTTTAGTCCTTTAAGATTTTAGGAATCCTTGATGTCCAGAAAGTCCCCTGTGCACGAGAATCAATACTCTATGGATCACTGGGATCTTTAGTTGTGGGCACTGGATATTTTTTAGCCACCAGTGAGTATTCATTCATTATCATTACTTCTTTTACATTTTTGGCAAGAAGTCTGAAAAAAATCAAGTAAAAATATTACACTCTTCTAGTTAATGAAATCATACAATTTTGCTTGTATTTCACTTTCTGCTTTTTATTTTTCCTTTCAGGTAGAGTGAAAAGATCTTTTGACTTTGGAGTAGGAGGTTTTATTTTAACAACCTTAGGATATTGGTATGTAAAGTGTTCCTTCATTCTGACAGGCTGAAAACGTTTTCATAAAATCTTAGGCTGCTTCTGTGATCTTTCATGCTGTTCTGCCTACATGATGCTGTTAGCCATGTGGCCTTCCACCCCATTTATACGCGTTCCCAAAACTTACGCCTTCAGAAATGTTAAAAGTTTAACGTATACATTACAAAAATATTACAAATACATTTAAAAAATCATCACTACATTTAAATGATTTTCCAAGAAATCAGACACCCTTGTCCTATTCTTAACTTTTCACTTTTCATCTGTGTCTGTTGTAATGTCTTCTCATTCTGACTTAAACTTTGATCTTGCAAAGACCTGAAGATGTAATATTCTTTACATATATGAGTAGTCTTCTTTGCAATTAGTGGAACTTCTTACATGTTTAAAATAATGTGTGTGCTGTGCCAGTACTTGCATAAATGCTGATAAACTTTAACATTATAAAATGCCTGGTATATATGGTTTCAGCACTAAGCATTTGAACAGCTATTATACAATGCCATCACTCAAGTGAAGCAAGGAATCATGGTTTGTTTTTTCTTCAAGGTTCTATTGCAGATACAATTATGCAAAACTAAGGATTCAACAAAGAATTATCCAAGAAGGAATAAAAAACAAGATTATATATGAAGGCACTCAGTTTGACCCGGTTATAAAAGAAAAGAACAATCAAAGTGGCAATTAACCTATTATTGAGGGACACAGTGAACAAGTGCAGTTTGGTGGGTCCTTAAATGGCCTTCCGGGGTTACCTTTCCTTGTAAAATGAAGAAGAACAAATCAAATCTGTTAAACTACTGCCTCCCTCACCCCTCCCCACAACAAGCAGTTTAAAGAGAATATGTTAAAGAAAACAAATATGATTTTGTATGAGTCCAATAGAAATTACTAATTTTCAAGATTGCAGAGGACTAATGATGGTATTTCTGAATTGTTTGAACAGCATTGTATAACTCTGCTAAAATGACCTAGTTTTGGTACCATCGTTTTCCAACAAAAATAATATGTTTTCCATGTTATAACTTTCCTATATCTCTACATAAATCTGTACTCATTATTCATTCTTAAAATTAAATAGAGTTTATATGTCTGAAGCTGTTTCATAAAAAATGTGTTCCTGCTTGAACAGGAATATTCTGCCTTACTGCTGCAAAATAAATAATGGAAATGTTCCTGTGAGGTCCACTATATACTTCTTTGACTTCAGGTTGTACATTCAAAAAGTGGGGAAGATTTGTCAGTAGTGTATTGACATTCAGATTGATAAGCATGCATGGGACTAGTTTAGCTACCTTAAGCTGGGTTCATCTACATGAGATCTGTACTGTGGAGTAGACTAATTAGGTAAACATTGCTTGTCTACCTATGGGCCCCTGTTAGGCTGGAGTAAACTAACTCTGCAGGGGGGTAGCACTTGTAAATACAAGTACTATCCT